AAAGACAGGATTTATTTATTTTATTTTTTTACAGAGAAGAATAATGTAATCAAACTCTGGCAGAGAGACTGGCTGCAACTAATTTATGTTGTGCTCTAAAAAAAATTTGAGCTTCACAAAGATTTTAACTTTTTGACTGATTAAACCAAATTGTCTGAATTACATGTCAGTTTTAAGATTACATTTACATTTACATTGCTTGAAGTTCACATTCTCTCACTACAAATCTTTGTTTCATGTAACAGAGAAACATTAAGCAGTGTGGCATTTTTATGTTATAAACATCATACATTTATTTTTTTTTAAATAAAAAAACGTGCCTTTTAGATGTATTCTCCTGTGTCAATACAACCACGATTTTGTGCAATTACAACAAACTTTGCCATCATTCATGATCATCTTTATACAAAAAGCGTTCTTCAAGCTTTCCACTGATTCTCATTTGGCTTTCGGTCAGGTCTTTGACTGAGCCATTCATTAAAATGTTTTGATCTAATCCACTCAGTTGTACTTTTACAGTTGTTTTCTCAATGGGGTCCCATGTCTTTTGCGCCTCTCACAGCAAGCTAATCTAGGGCTGGTGCATCAACTAACTCACTCGTTCTTTGGTTACCTAGCAACAACGTTTCACTCATAACTAGCTAAAATTAAAAAACTAATGGCATGGAGTGAAAACTGGACAAAACTGGAGCGGTTACGTCACCAGTTTTCAATATTTCAGATATTTAAAACAAAAATTTATAATTATTAATATCCACCGATATAAAACCCTTATATTGTGATATGTTTTTTGTTTTCTGGCCACACTAAACAACCCAGTCCTACTTGGAAGTAATAAAAAATAATTAAGAAAACTTAATGACTTCCGGGTCAGCGCTGCAACAGGATAGGAACAGGCTCCTCCGTGTCGGTATTTAAATCTCCCCCCTTGCTTAACTCGGATAATTATCAAAACTCCAGTCTAAACCATTTAAAGGGGGAAAATGCCGAAAATTAACAAGACCGAAAAGAAAACGTCCAAAACGCAAGATACTGGTGAGCAGTCGGGAGATGGTAGTGAGGACGAGGCTAATGCTACCACGAGGAAAGCTAGCGTTAGCTTACAACAACACGCGTTGCTGGAGAGTATCAAGACGCTTTCTAAAGACTTAACCTGTTGTTCACAGGTTGTCATTCACAATACAGGGGTGTCAAACTCCAGTCCTCAAGGGCCGCTGTCCTGCAGTGTTTAGATGTGCCACAGGTAAAAAACAGTGGAATGAAATGGCTTAATTACCTCCTCCCTGTGTAGATCGGTTCTCCTGAGCCTTGCTAATGACCTAATTATTCTTTTCAGGTGTGGTGCAGCAGAGGCACATCTAAAAGTTGCAGGACAGCGGCCCTTGAGGACTGGAGTTTGACACCCCTGTCACGAGAGGACCCAAATTTGGGTCCTCTCGTGAATGACAGGTTAAAAGAGTTTAAAAACGAGATGAAGCAAGACATAGAAGAACTCAAAGAATATGTAAAGGCAACAATGAAGGAAGATCTCAACAGATTCAGGGAGGAAATGATGCGCGAGCTGCAGAACCAGAAGGGCAGTATCAACAAGGCGCAGACCCGAATAGCTGACCTGGAGGCTGCGTGCTTGGAAATGAAAGACGACACTAGCAGGGACTCTGAGGGATGTCTTCACACATCTCTCCCTTTGGAAATTTATCTGTGTTTTAATAGCTTGTTCAGCTATTTGTTGGGGGCTCTTTTTCTAAAATCACATGGTGACCTTACGAAACTAAATAATGGCTGATAATATCAACATGGTTTCGTTGAATGTGAATGGTATGAATAACCCTATAAAAACGTAAAAAAAATTCTAACTAAAATGCGAAAAGAGAAAGCACAGTTAATCTATTTACAGGAGACACACCTGTCTAAATCTGAACATGAAAAACTCAGGGGCTTTGGCTACTCAAATATATTTTACAGCTTTTTCAGATACAAATTAAATTTGAAAGACACAGGTTTTGACATCTTTT